TGGTCAATGCTAAGTTTTCTTGGTTTTTTCATTTTATCAGATATTATAAGCATATGTCTACTTGTTGTTGCATGGAATGACTGCAAGGTGTCATATAAAAATAAGATGTCTGTCTGCCAAGGTTAATATTACCGTGACCTCATTTTCATAGAATATTGATAATATTAAACAGCAAAAATGATGAGCAAGACAAGATATACAAATGATCCAAAATTGTCAGTTGCCTACTTATTATGTAATAGTAGTTATTATCATTAAATGATAATGTTTACCCTTTTATGTGTAGGGCAAGAACATTAAAGATAAAGGGAAACTATAAACAAAAGAAATTATCATCAAAAATAGATTTACAGACGTCAACAAAGCCAAAATGGTAAGTCCAATTCTATAAAAGTTATTGCCCTTGAATAATGATTATTATGAAAATAAGATGTGGTATGATAAATGAGAAAACTATCCACCAGAGTTCATTTAAGTGGATGTAAGCAATGCAATTACTTATTAGAGGCCAATGATGACCTGTAAATAATGAGAAAACCCATACCCTATACATGATTTAGTCATCTATAAAAGACACCACAAACAAAATTTGGAACAAATCATCAATTCAAACCTCAAATATACCAGACTAATTTATAAAAAAAAACCAAGTTATGAAAAAACAAATATGACGGACGTGAACAAACATCAACCACTGAACTATGTACAGGCTCCTGATTTTGGACAGGCAAAATTAAGACAGGGTTGATATAAAAATAAGAAGCGTAATGATTGCCAATAAGACTTTTCTCCAGTAGAAAATAGTTCACTGTACAGCCTTCGACAATGAGCAAACTCTATACCGCATAGTAATCTATAAAAGGCCATGACATAACAAATGTAAAACAATTCAAAAAGGACATGGCGTTATTTAAAAAGGGCATGGCGTCTATCCATGCTAAACATGCTTGGGGGAAACACCACAAAGGCGAAAGCTAAGTGTCTGTTTTTTGCACAAAACAATGAACAAAAAACAAATATGATATAAAGCAACAATTGACAACCACTGAATAAAAGGCCCCTGACTTGGGACAGACACTTACAAATTGTGGCATGGTTTAACATGTTAGCTGGCGCAAAATCCTCCTCTAATTAAGGACAGTGGTGTAAGTGTCAGTTTAATATAAAAACTATAAAATCAGTTGAAAAGGGTTTTTTTTCTGCTCTTGGGTCAGGTTATTTTGATACATTCCCGTTTTCATTCTCAATTTTATTAACTCATTAGAATGCAACAAAGCAGAAAAACAGCTACCAAAAACACAGACCGGATGTGGCTGGAAATTTATTCTTTCCCTTTAACAAAAAAGACTCAACATACAGATCTATTAGTACTCGCAGTCGCTGACAGCTAATTCAAAGCAAATATCAACTATTAAAATAAACATTTTGTGAGCACCCAACCCACCCCTAACCTGGGACAGTGGTTTTAATAACAGCACAACATTTGAACAAACTGTAAACATTTGTTGCAATTGGCTTAACTCAAAAGACTGCAACAAGGCACACAAACAACTAATATGAAAACCATAAACACAAAGCACTGAAATAAGAGTACTTACAATTTTAAATATTCAAATGAAAGTTTATCAAAATGTACATAAACATGATGAAAAAGCCATTTTATTGCTGTATTTCTCTTCATTTATAATTTTTGAGTTTTGTGTATTTGTAGGTCAGACATCTTGGTTTTCATGATCATCATCCAACAGGTCAATACTGAACAGAAACTTAAAGTTGATATTTTTCTACATAATGTGACTTTTTTATTAATTTGAAATTGAATGTGTTTTTTTCCTACATAAAAAAGAGGAAATTTCAACATAATGACTATAAACAAAATTGAGTCATATCATCATGATCATAGATGCACAAGAACTTAATCGTGTAAATTTATGCAACAACGTAATTATCAATTGAAAGAAGGGAGGAATGAAAAAATATATTAGTATTTTGTTGTCCAAATGAACTTGCTTTGTCCACTCATTTAAATCACTCCATCCAATAAAGATGTACGGAGGAAGATCTTTGAAGAACAGATTGCAAACATGTTTTGTCTAAGAATTGTAGGAATATTCTAGTGGATGAAATAATTTATTTACTTCACTCTTTGGACTGAATAATTGTGCATAGCAAGCTGAAACAAGAAAACAAAAACTTAATAGGAAAAGTGTTTATTTCATGAATTTGCAAATATAAACGTAATATTATGAACACCACAGAGGTATAAGATTCAAATCGTTTGCATATTCATGTATTGCAATGGAACTATAACATGTATTACAAAGAAAACTTTACCTGATGAAAAGAGTAAACTATTAACTGTGCTTTGTCAATTTATTCAGTCAGAATATGAAATATTTTTTTCAGTTCTATTTTTCATAATAAAACAAACAAGACAAAGATTTCAAATCAATATTTTTTTCTTTTATTAAGACATGTCATCATTTTATTTCAGTTAAAGGATTTTATTTTTTGACTTTAAATATTATTATACTTTCCAAAATAATAATAATCTTTATTGTCATATAAACAAATTAAAAACATGCTGTGACAAAAAAAAACAAAATACACATATATATATATATATATATATATAATAAACTTTTTACTACCAAACAGAATTCATTGTAACATACACATTACTGTTATAATTTGAATCCTATAGGATTTTATTTTGTCCTATAGGATTTTATTTTGTCCCATGGGATATTAAAAATCCCATGGGATAATTATAGTCCCATGGAATTTTTTTTGTCCCATGGGACAACAAATATCCCATGGGACTACAATTATCCCATGGGACTAAAAACAAATCCTATGGGATTTAACCAAAATCCCATGGGATAATGGTCAATCCCATGGAATTTGCCCTATCCCATGGGATATTCAGAATCCCATGTTTTTCTAAATCAAATTACAAAATATATATAATAATAACAGCAGAAATGCAATGAAATTATTGAATCCCATGTAATTCCGCACATTTTGGTTATATACACGACACTGTAGCTCTAAGGAGAGAGGGCGGCGGATTTGCAAATGAGTGTTTTGCAAATTAAAAGTGTCCAGTGTTGTTGGCTATCTCAACGAGATTGATTTTCTCGCTTGAGCCGGTACGGCGAAAGTGAGAAAAGCAATCGAGTTGAGATGACTAATGATAATCTGTTTATCGCTATTTTACCTATGAAGACGTTGTTAATTTCCTTGACAACGGCGCGTGTTCCCTTAGTTTCTAGCGAAAATTTTCATATCACTCGACACCGTTTTCATACCAATCGACTCCGTTTTCATATCATTCGACTCCGCTGAGAAAGGAAATTATCAGTCAGCAAGATCAAAGGAAAAATTCGTAAAATAGCGATAATTGATTTCATTTCCAAATTTGTGTTTGCTATGATTGACACTTAGAACGTACAACAAAAAGTTACAAGTAAAAAGTCACGATTCAGTTTTGGGATATTTTTTTTTTGAATAAACTTAATTTTAAAACGTTTCAGTATTTTTCTGAAACATTTCTAAAAGGAAACGGACTTGTAAACAAAATGTATTTTTGAATATTAATATTGAACAATGATTGCTAAAAAAACAATCTGCCAAAGTGGTTTGGTAATTAACTGGCTTCATGCTGTCAAAAATGTCTCCTTTTTATGAGTTATTGATAAAAAAAAACTATTTGAAGGCGAATTAATCATTTCCTCAACTAAATACATTTATCTATGAATAAAGTCAATTCGTCAAGAACTTTCTCTCATATATTTAAACAATTGTAAAATAATTAATTTAAACTTTTGTACTGCGACTTTCTGTCCGTTTACCAATACTTATTCCTTGTTAAGTTTTTTCATATCCATTTACGAATACTTATAATGTGATAATTTTTCCGGATGCTTTTTATCCTATTTTCATATCAAACAACCATGTTACCCGTAGAACGGAGTTCAGAACAAATTTAGGAATTTAGTACTTAATATTTTCAACAACAAAATTTTACACTTTCATTTACCTGGATTTTTTTCTACGCTTCGAAGCCGCCACCCTGTATCAAACATAGCCAACACCTCGCATGGCGTATTCACGATGTTGAGGGATTGACAATATACAATCAAAGTTAGCAATATACAGCAATTAAGTAATTGGGTGTTGAATGCCAGTAGATCTGAATTTGTAAATTGAATTTAACCTGTTTAGAACGTGTATTGTTGAATTGTTTAATAAAATTACACACATAATCTGGGCTGATATGCATAACACCACTTTAAGTTCAAGGTATCAATGAAACTGGGTCTGCATGAAAAAATGACTTATCACATAATACCAGAACCTATGTTTACTGTTAAATGATAAGAAAATATAGCTGTAGACCTAGTTGAAAATCTTTACAAATTATCTATTCTTTTAATTTCTATTGGACTGTCTGGGTGCTTCTTATATGTTTTAAATGTTTTCGTTTTGTATGCTATAGTTAAGTTTTATAGACTGTTGTACGTCATTTGGTCGTTTTTAAAGGCAGTGCTTTAATGCCTTTCTGGTTGCCGGGTTAATACTTCCTTCCGCGATATCCAACTTATCTACGTAGAGGGTCATTAGGCTCCAAGTAGATCCGGAAATGTTCAATTCTCTCCTCTTCTTATTGCGATATAAAATGTTTTTTGTTTCATTTCATTTACATTGGGAAATAGAGAAACGATCATTGTGTTTTGTTAGTTTTAAAAACTTTTGATATATCTGTATTTTGCATTATAAGCAGTCAACCGATTGACAAACTAGAATTATTTGAATTCCGTGTGGAAAGAGCTCGGGTTAATTTCGCGTGTTATCTGCAATCTAGATGTTTATAAATCATTTCAGTCGTTGATATAATAATTAAAGGTCGACTGAACATGAATTATATTATATAATTTAAAGCGCTTTTCTGTTTATGCACGTGAACCCGTCTAACGTTATTGTTATTTCGCTGTTATATAAAGTAGCAAATTATCGTTCCTGAATAGGTGGCGCCGTGGTAGCGGATCTTGTTCCTCAACTTCCGGTTTCTGCACTGTGCAACTATTTCAGTTATATTTTTAATTAACGATGCCAAGTACTTGTTGTTGTGCACCTGGATGTCATTTAAGAGGAGGACATGCATTTCCAAATGACTTAAAAAGAAGGAAAAGTTGGATCAACGCCCTGGCCCATACGCAGATTGGACGAGAACACGATGAAATCGTGGAGTCCATCTCAATCAGCTGTTGTTTGCAAGGCACGTTTTACTGAAAAAGACTACGTACAGGAAACTATTTATGGTAAAACTCTATTTTCTTTTTGAAATATATAGTAATATATGTAATCGCCATGCGAATAAACAAAAGTCTGTTTACAACCGCAATTATCGTTTTAGAATAAAAAGGGGGTGGTTAATTCAAGACGTCATAATTTTTTGGATTACGATTCAATGTGATCTGTTTTAGATTTTTTGGTGATTGCTACAATTATAATGCTTTCTTACAAGAGGTATATCATACTGAGAATTATTTTAGCAGTAATTATGCTAATGTAGTAATGACAGGAATGCATAAGCTATGCCTCATAGACTTTCTTGAAAAATATCAATGACAATGTTAACAGGAACAAAACAATGACATGCTCTCATCTATATTAGATCATATTATAGTTATTTAGGTACAAACAATGTACGTTTGTTGCATAAGTCTCTCATTGTTTGTCTTTTGGATTTACATAACATACACTGAATCAGGCAAACATAGTTTTATCCAGATTGTAATGAATAAATCTAGTTAATATTTCGCCAGGTAGTACAAAGTATACATTTACGTTTCTCGCTGCATTGAAGACACATTGGTGGCCTTCGGCTGTTGTCTGCTCTATGGTCGTGTCGTTGTCTCTTTGACACATTCCCCATTTCCATTCTCAATTTTATTGCTAATGGAAGTTCATTTAATTATAAAAAAACTAATGTTTTATAACCTTTTTCAGGGCGCAAACCCACCATACAGAGACTTAAGTCTACTGCCATTCCCAGCCTATTTTCCTGGACCAAGCAAGAGACTGAATCGTCCGCAAAAAGAAAAATCAGGGCAGTTTCCTGTGAAAACAAAAGAACTAAACTTGATGAATATTGTAGTAAAAATCTAGAGGAAAGTTTTGATTGTAAAGTTGGTTTTCCTGAAGAAGTCATTCATACTGCAGAAAGGATTTATGACTGTCCACCACCAACTGCCGAGCTAATGTTGAGCTTCACAGATGGAATTACGCAAACACCATCAATGCCTATGTTTTCAGCAGATAATTTTTAAATGAAGACACGTGACACAGCCATGCATTTTTATACCGGTTTAGAGTTGTATACTAAATTTTTATTTGTTTTGACCACATTTGGTCCAGCAGCACATTGTTTGAGATACATATATTTTCAAATTGATAGGGTGTCAGTTGAAAATCAGTTTTTTTTATGACTTTGATGAAATTGAGGCATTATACAACCAACTTTGAACTGTCTAGATTCTAAATTAAATCTAGTGTATAGAATATTGTGTATACATGGATTGTTTTTATGTCTAAACAGTGATGTGAGGCTAACACTTGGCCATCTAGTGGTTTAGTCAGGTATTTTTCACCATCCAACTTCAAATTAAAGTTTCCTACGACTTGGATTATAATTGACAGCACAGAATATCCTGTGATAAAACCTAAAGCTCCTAGAGCTCAGGCAACCATTTCATCATATAAAAACAGAAACACTGAAAATTCTTGAATGTTCGACACCTGGTGGTTTAGTCAACTATGTCTCTAATGCATACATGTACATGTAAATTGTTATGCATATAAAAATAAGGAGATGTGGTATGATATTCAGTGAGTTTATCGAACTAAAGTGCATAAGAAATGGGTTTAAGCAGTTACAGGTGTTACTGTCACCATACAATCTTCAACAATGAGAAAAACTTTTACCGTGTAAAAAATTTCAGAGATCTTACAACTAAGTTTTGTTGTCTCACCTTGACTTTGGTGAATTTTTTATATCTGTTGATGTAAATATAAAAAAGAAGATGTGGTATGATTGCCAATGAGACAACTCTCAACAAGAGACCAAATGACACAGAAATTAACAGCTATAGGTCACAGTACGGCCTTCAACAATGAGCAAAGCCCATACCGCACAGTCAGGCCCCGAAATGACAATGTAAAACAATTCAAACAAGAAAACTAAAGGCCTAATTTATGTACAAAAAATGAACGAATATAACAAATATGCAACATGCATATGCAAACCACTGAATTACACTTTTACAGGCTCCTGACTTGGGACAGGCACATACATGTACATACAAAATGTGGTGGGCTTAAACATGTTAGCGGGATCCCAACCCTCCCCCTAACCTGGGACAGTGGTGTAACAGTACAATATAAGAACGAACTATAAAAATCAGTTGAAAGAGGCTTAACTCATCAGATGGATAAATACAAATACAAGTGGACGTGGTCGGGTAGTTGTACATCCAAACAACAAAAAGACACTAAGTATAGATCTGAGAGTACTCACAGTTACTGACAGCTAGTTCAAAGCCACTAACAACTGATAAAAAAATCTTGCATCTAAGACTAAATTATCAATCCGTAAGCTCCCTTTAGAATTTTATGAATTTTAGATTTTACATTTCTGAGTTATGGGGTTTTATTCATTAAAAAAGGGGGGATTTTCCAGTTTTTGGACAACAACTCAAAAATGCTTTAAGCAGTTCACATGAAACATTGGTGAATTATTTATAGCTATTGATGTAATCTCCCTATTGATTTTCATAAATTTCAAATATGACATTGAGAAGAAATTGAACTTTATTTGTTTATAGTCTGGCAACAGATTTATTAAGTATTGCGCAACAGCACAGTGTATTGCACAACAGCAAGAAATCTTTAATTGAATATAAATTCAATTCATATAACCGATTTCAAGTTCTTTGACTACATTTATTCAGAAACTATAATATGTCAAATATTTAATTACAATCCAAATTCAGACCTGTATCAAGCTTGAATATTGTGTCCATTTTTGCCCCAACTGTTCAGGGTTGGACCTTTGCGGGTGTATCCAGCTGCACTCAGCGAATCAGTTTATTTCTTAATTAAGAACTCCTTTTTTCATTCATAAATTACTTTATGCTTGGAAATATAATTTTGCTTGGAGTTATAGTTTCTAAAAAAAGTATTGTTATTGAAAGAGTTGACATGTTGCAATGTACATTTATTCTACATAGTTCTATGGTACCAAATCAAAAGTTTATATAAAAGAAAGAAGGCAAAGGTTTCCCATCATAGTTTAGTTACATACATTTTTTTTGTACCTGAGGTCGTTGAATATAGATCATTATATAAATAAGGAGATGTGTTATGTTTGCCAATGAAACAACTATCATCCATACTTACCAGTAACAAACCACATTTGCAGAGTTGAATAAAATACAGTTGATAACATTTACTTATTACTAAAAAGAAAATGCTTAACTATTTTAAGCAGTATTTGAATATAAATTATATGGTAATTTTTATAAATTTCCTGTTACAAAACTTTGAATTTTTGGAAAAACTAAGGATTTACTTATCCAAGGAATAGATTACCTTAGCCGTATTTGGCACAACTTTTTGGAATTTTGGGTCCTCAATGCTCTTCAACTTTGTACTTGTTTGGCTTTATTGCTATTTTGATCTGAGCGTCACTGGTTAGTCTTATGTAAACGAAACACGCGTCTGGCGTATTAAATTATAATCCTGGTACCTTTGATAACTAATTAGACTATAAACATAGATAAAAAAGGTACAAACTGGACATAATGCACTAGTTCATAAACAAGTGAGAACAATCGCCTTCATATAGTGCTCAGAATATGACATTCATAAAACTTGTTCAATATCATTAGAGAACTCTAAATCTTAAATACTGAAAGCCACCTCTGATAAGTACACTGTACTATGCAAGATAATGATATAACTGGACTAAAAATACACACAACCTGTAATTAACTGCCTTTACAGCGCTTTCGCGCTTTGTTTAAGCTTTTGCCATGGCGTTGTCAATATGTCGTCGACTTGTACGTTTTATATAATCTGCATCTCTTGTGCTGTATTTTAAAATGTATCTACACAATTGCTGCATCTTTACACATTCATCAATACATAAAAAAATATGAATAAAGCTTTCGTATATATAAAAATTAGGAGATGTGGTATGATTGGTAATGAAACAACTATCGGCCAGTTCAATTGAAAAACCTGATTATAAGCAAATGTGACTTACTTACTTACTTTAGTCAGAGAGATCTTGAATCTGAATTCAAGGATAAGAAGTGGGAAGGGGGTGGAGGTAGATTAAGGTGAGGGCATGGGAGCCCGCCCCTTTTTTGGAAAAAAAATGGTTGATTATTTAGAGAATCACTGAAGCGGGCCCCCTCTTTATGCATGACAGTTAGTGCCTCCTTATGACATTTTTTGGATCCGCAACTGGTGAGGACTTCATAAAAATATATTTAGTAAGTTTTTGTTTTGTGATAAATAATGTATTTACATTCACATAGACAGAACTAGGATAAAATAAACTATCGAAAGCTTAAGTGCACATAAGAGGGTATGGATGGGGGTTAACAGAATAGAGAAGGCCCCAAGCCTTTCTTGGGAAAATTTGGTTGATTATATAGGGAATCACTGAAGCATGACTGGAGCCGGCCCTTCCTTATGAAAAGTTCTGGATCCGCCACTGTATATTCATAAAAAAACCAACAAATTTTCCAAAAGATGAGTAAATAGTCTTTAAGGACTCCAGGAGTCAATTTCACAAAAATACTTACAACTCAGCATACCTGTCAACCTATGACAATGAAAATGCAGGAGATGACCTGCATTGAAGAATGAAATCTCAGGTCATAACGCGTACGAACTTTTTTGAGCTGAATTTCAGGATTTAGGGGACATTTTTCTTTTAATTTAAATCAAACAGTTTCAAAACATGTTCAAGTAATTTAAAACTGTACATAGTATTATTTCATTGCACGTATTCCATGACATACAATGTGCCAGTTTGTCTTTTTCTTTACAAACATCTGTGCAGCTTTTAAGCATCAAGACTAACCAAATGCTGATATTAGAGTATAATAAAATAAAGTTAAACAATTAAAGAAGGTATATATTTTTTAACTGTTCTAAGGTAGGAAAATAGAAAAAGTATTATTCTGATCTGTGTTTGCATCAATTCATTTTAGATTTAATCTTTTTACAAAAAAAAACATTAGTTTAAAGAGTATATTGTGAAAGGTGAAAAAAGGGGAAGTAACTCAAATTGTTTTTAAAACAACTTTGAAATACACAAATTATTTACGACCTAAAGCTAAGATAATTGGTGTTAATTAACAGTGTGTTTGACACCAAAGCTGTCAAGTGAAGCCATGACTAATATGGGTCACTTAATTTGAGTATACACAGCTAGTTGAACTTCTTGTCCAGGGAGAATTACGAATTTGCCGGTATTTCAACACTGTTCAAGGGAAAATCACTTATGAAATCAGTCTGAAGGCTTAGGAATCCGGGTGAAAACGGGTCATTTTCGGAATTCCCGGGTTATTTAATGACCCGGCGGGTGTCCCGGGTGACCCCTCAGAGTTGTGAAAATCTCGGGTCACACCCGCAGGATACGAATCAGTTGACAGGTATGACCAAGATTGATTACAGTCTTCACGCTTAACCACAAGTCCTACGGCATTGGCTTGTAAAATTGCTTTCGGGCTTGTAAAATTCTACTCTACAAGCCAACAAAATCCAACTAAAATGTATAAAAAATTGAGCTTCCGGCTTGTGGACTCAAAAGTTAAGCGTGAAGGCTGTGATTATAAGTATACTTGAGTCGGTTTTACAAAAAAAAACTTACAAGTAATCGTAAGTATACTGTATTGTACATGACTTAATTACTATCAATATTATTTGTTATTTTTATTGTGAAACTGACTGCTGAATTGTTTTTCCATGCTTATGGTACATCTAATCTTAAGCTTATTTTAAAACCAACTCCAGGGGGTCTGTCTCCAATAGTATATAGATATAGGTTAAATAATTTATTCATACATTTTTAATTGACTGACTAGAATTATTGAGGAATTTAAACCATTCCTATTTTTAAAAAGTGACAAAAATAAAATTTATATATAACAATATAACAGGGTGATACAAATGAGAAAAACTCAAGAAATTGTTTTCAATTAAGATAAATGCATGCAGTTAATAATGGTTTTCAGTTGTTTTTTAAAGCAGAGGCGGATTAAGTGTGTGTGTGTGTGTGTGTGTGGGGGGGGGGGGGGGGGGGGAGGGGGGGAGGGGGGGACAGGAGTTCGGAGTCCCTATTCTTGAAAAAATTTGGTTGATTATATAGGGAATCACTGAAGCATGACAGGAGCAGGCCCCCTCTCAGGCAGTCACTTATGAAAATTTCTGGATCCGCCACTGTAAAATTGT